GATGGGGGGACAGGGGGGACACGCAAGAGAAACCCCGAGGCCGACTGTGCTGCCACCCAATCCCTCGTCCTCCTGGGGAGCAACGAGTTCATGGTCTGAGATGTTCCACGTCGTGTGCTGGAGCATCCTCCTGGTCCATGCTCCCAGTGGTGTCGTTGTTAACACCAGGAGGATGAATTCCTGATTTCAAAGGCCAGGGAGGGGGGGACGGTTTTAATGGTGGCCTTAATGGTTATGGGAGGTTGAGGGTTTCTGAGGGGGGTGGACCCCAGGGATGGAGGGGCACTGGCCAGCTCCTGCCCTTCCCCTCGGAGCACCGCACGCTTCGGAGCATCGCACCGCCAAATCCTTGTGCCCAATCACCGTTGCCTGTGGGTAGGAACAAACCAAGCCATGGGAGCATCCCAAGCCGGCAGCGGCTCCAGCCAGCCAGCCAAGCCCTCCGCGCTTTAACCACCTCATCCACGCCAACGCCAAGCGCATGGAAAAGCGTTAAAATCTGCCAAAAACCACCTTTTTTTTGTGTTATTTTTTAACGTGACCTAACCACCTTCTCCTCTTTTTTTGTTTTGGAGACCATCAGTATTAAAAAATAATAATAATAACAATAATAATACTCAAGGACTACTTGAAGCTCTATTTGTTTATAAGCCGGTTACTGGAGTTTGATGTAAATAGATATATTTTTATTTTGTTTTCTATTTTTCCCCAAACTGAACTTTTTGGTTTATTATTATTGTTATTTTGTGGCCAGGGAGGAGGAAGCGATGGGCTGAGCCGTCCTGCCGGTGCCACCACTGGTGTCACCATCCATCACTTGCCGCTACTATCTTGCTTTGTACTTGTATTTTGAGGTGTATTTAGCCTAATTTAAAAGCAAAGCCCATGATAGGACTAATCAGCTCTTAATCCCTCCCATATCATCATCATCATCATCACCCTCTGTGGCATCTGGAGAAGCTCCAGATACTGGAAAACCTCTGGAAAGGCAACATTAGGAGCCCTAGAGCACCAATTAGGTGAATAAAGGACAGCTCCATCCTCTCAGATGCGTTGGGCACTGCATGTTGAGGCTCATCCTTTCCTGAAACACCACCAAAAATGGGGGGAAAACACCAAAACCTGGGTTTTCCTGAGCATTTTGTGGTTTTTTGAGCATCTCTGCATCCCAGGGTTTAGCCAAGCTGCCCTTCGGTCCCTTTCCCCTGCCCATTGCTTTTAAGGGATGGTTTATTTATTGGGGATTTGGTTTTCTTTTATTTCACTTTTCAGAAGTTTTACTTTCATTTTTTTCCATGGGGAAAAGCAATAGATGCCACTGGGAGAGCGGGAGCATGGGAACACCATCTGCCTTGGTGCTGCGTCCCAGGAGCGGAGCAAGACCCACTCAATCATCCCCCACCCATAGGGGGAAATGGGATTTTACCATCCTGAGTGGAAAATCGGCATTCTGGGACCACCCTGGGCTGTGCTGGGAGGAAAGTGAAAGATCCTGGGAAGCCACCCCAGATTTCCCTAGAGCTGGAAATATCGGGAGCATCCCTATGCTCTGCGCCAAAACCAGCCATTTCTGAGCATCTTTATCTAAAAGCCCAGGAGTTCTCCTCAAAGTGGCTCCAGGTGAGGGTGTCCCTGTGGGAGGGCTGAAGGGCTCCAACCTCATCCTTAGTTTTCCCAGTACAGCAGCATGAGCACAGCCGGGACAGCAGATGTGGCTTAGGCAGCGCCTCCAAATACATATATGTGTGTGTATTTCTTTTCATATATATATTTCCCTTATATATAGATTATATATATATGAAGAAAATAAATGTTCAAGAATATATATTCTATATATAAAGAAAATTGACATATGAAAGACTATGTATATTCTATATATAAAGTATATGTAAAATAATATATAAAGAATAAATATGTTTCTTTGTGTGTTTTTATTTCTTTTATATATGATACATGTTTATATATAAAGAAATACGAGATATATGCTACATGTGAAGAATATATATTTCTTTATGTATTTTACAGATAAAGAAATATATATAAAGAATAGCTGAAGAAAATATATTTCTTTTTATGTATTATAAAATAATATATAGAGAGAAATATAAATATAGGACAAATATACTGTGTATAAAGAATATATATGTCTTTATGCATATATTTATATTTCTATGTAAAGAAATATATATAAAATAAATACGTACCATGTATAAAGAATATATTTCTTTATACATAGAAATACATATACAAAGAAATATATATATTTCTTTATATATGTAAGGAAATATATTTCTTTATATATCTATAAAGAAATATATATAATAAATATATTATGTATAAAGAAATGTATGTCAAATAGATGCATACTGTATAAAAAGAACATGTATTTCTTTATATATTTTTTTCTGTATTTCTTTTATATGTATAAATATGTGTATGTTTCTTCATATAGATTTATATATTTCTTTATATAGCGCATATAGTTCTCTACATATATGCCATATATAAAGAATATATGTTCATGTCTTTTATCTCTACTTCTTTATATATATGTTTATAGAATATATGTGGAATATATCTAAAAAATATATAGAATATATATAGAAAACATATTTCTTTATATATATAATATATATTTGTGTATATATATATATAAAGAAAATTGATATAGAAGAAATATATGCATATATAGATATATATGTGTAAAATCGAGTCCAGGCAGAGGCTGAGCTGCAGAGCGAGGGGTTCCAGGGCTCTCGGCCAGCGCATCCCTCTGGCATCTTCCCTTCCCGGCCCCTCCTGCGAGCCAAGGGGTGGATTTGCGGCACGAATGTACTTACTACTGGAGCGGAGGAGCGGGGCTGCGTGCGGTCAAGTGGTGGTGTTATTGTTATTATTATTATTATTATTATTTTTTTCATGGAATTTTTTTAAGTAATTTATAATTCTGCTGCGTGTAAATTAAAACCAGATCTGTATTGTACGAGGATATATTATCCTGGGTCACCCACGCTAGGAATGGTTCAAAAAGGAGAAAAGAAAACCAAACACAGAAATAAAAGTGTACTTCTCTAAAGGTGAAGCGGTTGTGGTGCTGGTGACACCCCAAAGCACCGTGGGGTGCGGGGACACTGGGGGGGCTTTTTCCTTCTGCTCTCAGCCCATCGTGTGGTTAAAGTGCAATTGAACAAAGTGTCACATATTATCACAGATTCGAATGTCACTGATTTCTATGCAGATTATTTCTGGGTTTCGTACACAATTTTTTCTATTCAGATAATTTTCAATTTATTTATTCAGATTATTTTTATTTTATTTCTATTGATATTATATTCAGGTTATTCTTTGGTTTTGGTCCATGCAGATTATTTTCAATTTACTTCAATTCAGGTGATTTTCATTTTTCTATTCAGATTATTTCTAATCATATTGGCAGAGATAATTCCTCTTCAATTTATTTCTCTTCAGGTTAACGGTACTATTGTGAGTTTTATGCAGATGATTGAACTCAGATCACTTCAGTGTGGTTCCATTCACATCATTTACTTCAGTTTCTATTCAGATCAGTTTAGATTCTTTATTTCCATTTATTTTCACAATTCGGATTATTTCTCATTGGTTTATTTTCCCTGACATCCTCTCTGGTCAGCTTCTTTCTCTTGCAATTTGTTTGTAGTCAGATTATTTCATCTTATTTATTACTCAGAGTCATATTATTTCATTCATATTATTCATATTCATATAATTTATTTTCAATTTACATTCTGATTCTTTCTTTTCTCTGTATTTATATTCAGATTCCTTCCAGTTAGATTATTAATTCCAGTTCTTTCCAAACAGATCGTTTATATTTATCTTATTTATATTCGGATAATTTCTTTTTAGTTCATTTGTCTTCAGATTGCTTCCATTTGTTTATTTTTGCTTCATTTTCATTCAGAATATTTTATTCAGGGTATTTCTCATCAGATTATTTATAGTCATTTATAGTCAGATAATTTATTTTGAATTTCCTTATATTCAGATTATTTCCTTTTATTTCTAGTCACATTATTTTTATTAGTATTTTTTATATTCTGGTTGCTTAATTCCTGTTATTTCATTCCAGTTATTTCATCTTACTTGAACCTCTTTCATTTATCGTCAGATAAGTTATTTTAAATTTACTTCTATTCAGATGGTTTATTTCTGTTACCTATTTACAGTCAGGTTATTGATACTCAGGTGGTGACGCCCCCACCTGGGGACAGGGACCCCGATGTGGTGGCGCAAGGACACTGGCTTCAAAACCCCTCTTTATTCCAGGTATAAAACGGGGGGGGGCAGAGCAGGAGCCCCCCAGGACGAGGCTCAATCACTGCAGGTCCAGTGGAATCACAGAGGTGAAGTCACACCCTGTGAGTGTGTGACCAGTGTCACCCCAAGGCTGGCATCACCCCCAGCCAATGTCACCCCTGGGCTGGCATAACCCCAGGGTGGCCATCACTGCTGCGGCCAGTGTCACCACTGGGCTGGCATCACCCCTGGACTGGTGTCACCCCCAGCCAATGTTACCCCTGTCCAGTGTCACCTCTGGTCAATGTCACCCCTGGGCTAGTATCAACCCCAGATGTCCGTCAGCCCTGTGGCCAGTCACATCTGGGCTTGCATTATCCCCAGCCAGTGTCACCCTTGAACTTGTGTCATGCCCCCAGGCTGTCATCGTCCTTGGTCAGTGCCAACCCTGGGCTGGTTTCATGCTCCCCACCCCAAAGCTGGTGTCACCCCTGGGTGGCAGTGGGTCCACATGGGTGCCATTGCCTCAGCAAGGGCATCTTGACTGCATTTGTAGGTTCCTCCAGTGTTTGGGACAGGAGCACCCATCAAGGCACCCGCCCCAACGAGATGCTCCTGGTGCTTCTTGCACCCACTTGGGGACATTCCCCTGACACCAGCTGTCCCCGGTGAAGCTGGCCCCACATCCCGGCTGCCGACAGCATCCCACCATGGAGGTGGGAGCACAGGCACCTTCACACCCTGCAGCACCCCGGGGCGAGGAGACCCAGGGTGGAGGTGACAGGGTGTCAATGGCAGGCGACATCGGGCCGGGGGAGGTCAGTTCTTGAACATGTCACACAGCAGCTTCTCCATGGGGGTGTTGCCGATGGTGCGGCGGAAGAAGAGCAGCTCCACGTGCTCGGAGGAGATGAAGCGCAGCGCTGGGAGGAGCAGCAGCAGCTTCCCGAACCTGGGGGGCACAGCGGTGGCCATGGGTGGGTGTCCCCACTGCTGGTGTCACCGTGGGGACATGGGGACACGGTACCTGACAGGTTGCCCAGGGTAGTGAGAGCGGTTGTGCTGGCCCAGCATCACCTGTGACTGGTCCTGCAGGTTCTCCACCTGTTCAGGGTCCTTCAGGCCACGGGTCTCTGCAGGGGCCAGGGTGTGAGGGGTGGTTTGGGGGCACAGGGCAGGGCAGTGGTGGGTGCTGGTGGATCCCCTCACCTGGTTTGAAGAGCACCACGGCCTTCATGCAGGCGAATTCGGTGGGGTCAACAGCCAGTGCCTTGAAGCGGGCAAGGGTCTCCTGCAGTGCCCGGACATCCAAGGCAGCTGGCAGCAGCTTCCCAGGGCCCGGCTCAGGAACAGCCAGCAGCGGGCAGCTCTCCAGAGGCATGGACCACTGGATGGCACAGAGCAGGAACAGCTCACTCCACGCTTCCTCCAACAGGATCACCTGGGGACAGGGCGGGAACCCCAAAAACCCATCACCCCAAAAGCCTCCGGCACGGTTGGTTGGGTTGGCATCTTACGGTGGGGTGGGACCTTGCGGTGGATGTTGGGATGCTCCAGCCATCCCCATCCCACGGGTTGCCTGCGTTTTTGGGGGTCCCCAGGGGAGTCTCCAACCCCACCTGGTCGCGGAAGGGCAAGTTGGAGAAGACAGGCAGGTTTTTGGCCCATTTCACCGCCATGAAGAGGAGACGTGCAGAGGTCTCATAGACGTTTTCAGGGCTGGCCGCTGGGTACGGTGCCACCTGGTACTCGCTCGCTGTCCGCTCCGGCTCGCTGCCCGTCACATCCACCGTCTCATCGGCTGCAGGGACAGAAGGGGACGTTGGTGGTTGTCACACCGTGGGGGCAGCCCTCTCCCAACCCTCACCAGCAGCCACCCACCGTCCTCGGGCTCCAGCTTGGCGCAGGTCTCGGCCGTCATCAGGCTGGCCATGAAGCGATGGTTGGTGGGCGGGGTGGATGCCTGGGGACCAGGGGTGACAGCGGCGGTGGCACTGGGGCCGCGAGGAGCCGGGCAGGGGCTCGGCGGCACCTCACGGGTGGTGGCCACGTGCTCAGGGGGCAGCTCAGCATCCAGCTCGATGCTGTCCAGCCGGACCTGGGCCGTGCTGCGGGGCTGGCGCTCGTTCTGCACAGCTGCAGGGGCACGGTGGCATCAGCACCAGCCCCGCTGCTGCCAGCCCCTGCCAGCTCTCACCGCGTGTCCCCACCACCCGCCTCACCGTCCTTGTTCATGCCGGCTTGCAGGCACTTCTTGAGCCGGCAGGCCTGGCACTGGTTGCGGTGCGCCTTGTCCACCGGGCACAGCCCTGTCCCCGCCTGGCACCTACGGGAGAGGTGGTACCTGAGTGCAGCCCCTGGGGTGGCTCCTGTCCCTGGGGGGGGCTGACAGGGGTGACACGTCCTGGGGCTGCTTTGTCCCTGTTGGGTGTCTCATCCCCCCGCAATGGGTTTCCTCCCCCCAGTGGGTGTCCCACTCTGATGGGTGCCCTGTCCCCAGTGGGTGCTTTGTCCCAGTGAATACCCTACCTTGATGGGTGTCCTGACTCCGTGAGGGTGCCCTCGACCCCCAAGCCCAGGCCCCTGCCCCATTGGATGCTTGTCCCCTGGTCCCTCCCCTGCTGCGTTCAAGCATCCCCAGGTCCCTGCCATATCCCACCCCATGTCCCTGTTCTACTTGCTGTCCATCCCCTGGGTCCTTTTCCCACTGAGTGCCTGTCCCCAGGGTTCCTACCCAATTGGGTGCCTGTCCACCCAGTCCCTGCTCCATTGGGTGTCCATCCCCAAGGTCCCTGCCCTGCTGGATACCCATCCCCTGGTTCCTTGTTCCTCAGGGTTCTGGTCCCCCTGGTCCCTACCCCACTGGGTGTCCAACCTGGTGTCCCTGTCCCACTTGGTGTCCATCTCCTGGCTCCCTCTCCCACTGGGTGCCTGTCTCCACGGTCCCTACCCTTTTGGGTGCCTGTCTCCTTAGTTCCTGCCCCACTGGGTGTCCAACCCCTGGATCCCTGCCCTACTGGGTGCCTGTCCCACCCTGCCCCAATGGGTGTCCATGCCCTGGGGTTCCTGTCCTGTTGGGTTCCAGTCCCCCTAGGGTCCTCACCCTGCTGGGTGTCCATCCCATGGGTCCCTACCCCGTTGGGTGCCTGTCCCCCTAGTCCCTGCCCTAAGCCCTACAGTGTGTCTGTCCCCAGGCCCCTGCCCCATGGGGACCTTCCATCCCTGTGCCAACCTGTAGATGAGCTTCCTGCGGACGCTGCGCTTGAAGAAGCCGCTGCAGCCGTTGCAGGCGTAGATGCCATAGTGCTTCCCACTGCTGGTGTCACCGCACACCTTGCACAGCAGCACGGGGCTCAGCGCCTTGCCAGGGGCCGGGCTCAGCCCTGCAGGAGAGGAGCCACCGCATTCAGGATGACTCAGGACACCCCAATGTCCCTGTCCCTCCTGTCTCCCTGCTGCTCCCCAGCATCCTGGTGATGGGGTGGCTCCCATCTCTGCTGGTCCAACCCAGGGACATGGATGGGAACACCTCAGGGGCTGGCAGGGATTGCACACGGGGTTTGGCATCTCCCTACAGCCCAGAACCCGGGATGCTGCCGGCTGAGCTCTCATAAGCCTTTTTAAAATGAAAGGGGATGAAACGGTGTCCCTTGGGATGGAAAACCCCAGAGAAGGGCCACAACCAGAGGTGTCCTAGAGAAGGACTATGGCTGGGACCCCAGGGCATGATGAGGACAACAAACATAGGCTTAATGGAGAGGGTTGGGGCTGGGGACTACAGGCATCCCATCCTGGAGAAGGACCACAATGGGGACCCTCAGCGTCTTGGAGAAGGATGATAGCTGAGGACCCCAAGCATCCTTCAGAAGGACCATAATGGGGACCCCAGCCATCCTGGAGGACCACAGTGGGGACATTCTGGAGAAAGATCATGGTGGGGATCCTGGGCATCTTGCAGAAAGACTACAACGGGAGCCCCAGACATCCCAGGGAAGAGCCATGATGGGGATGCTGGGTGTCTTGGGTATGGACCGTGATGGGAAACCCAGCCATCCTGGAGAAGGGCTGTGATAGAGACCCTGGCCATCTTGGAGAAGGACCATCATGGGGACTGAACGCATCCAGAAGAAGGCCACGATGTGGACCCTGAGCATCTCGGAGAAAATCTGCGGTGTGGGCCCCCCGGTGTCTTAGAGATGGGGCATCAAGGAGACACCAGGGAAGAACCAAGATGAGGATCCTCAGGGACCCTGGAGACTGACCACAACAAGGACCCCACCGCATCCCACCGCGTCCCACCACCTCTTACCCGTGGGGCTCTCGTCCAGGCCGGCGCTCACCCCCGACCCCGCCGGTGATGCAGCCATCCCGTCCGCGGCCAATCCCTGCTCTGGTGAGGGTGCCTGGGCTCTGGTGAGGGTGCCTGGGCTCTGCTGAGGGTGGGTGCTCCGGCAGCTCTGCGGGCAGCGGGGCTCGCTCTTGCTCTCTTCAAGGCAGCTTAGAGCGGGCGCTGTGTAAGCAGCTGCCTCTTTGTCACCCCTTTAATCTTTAGTGTCTGCGCGGGGCGGGGGGGATCAATCAGCCACGCGATGAAGAATTAACAAGGTGCTGAGCCCCAGCCCTGTAACCCTAAACCCGCGACACCCACCCCCCCCCCCCCCCCCCGTGTGCTGCCACCCGCACCGCACCGTGTCACCCTGCCACCGCCTGTACTGCACCCAGCACTGCAGGGCTGAGATTGCAGCAGTGCGGGACATGGGGCTTGGGGTAGGGACCCCCTCTGTGTGTGTGTGTGTGTGTGTGTGTGTGTGTGTGTCTCCTTGGGACCCACCAGGTCCTGTAAGCGCATAAGCCCTTCACTAAGGCGGTTAGAGGGGAATAACGAAAAGTGGTAATTAAAGGGGGTGATTTCCCTGCCCCCAAGTAATTAATTACCAGCCTTGATAGCGAGGGGAGGGAGGATGCTCCGAGGGCCCCCCCCCCGTGCCTCAGTTTCCCCCCTGTGCTGCTGACACGGCAGCGGGTGGGGGCCGGGTGGCCGCGGGGTTACGCAACCGCCGCTAAACCCTCGCCGTGACAGGGCAGCACAATTTGGGATTTGAGGCTTTAGCTGCTAAACCCCCCCCTCCCCGCCCGGCGCAGGGGACGGCGGCCGCTCTCACCCGGCCCGGCCGGTCCCCAGGGATGGGCCAGCCCCTGTGAACTCCGGGGGGTTCAGCCTGCGGCCCCCGTGGAGGTGTCTCATGAGTGGGTGCTGGCAGCAGTGACACAAGTGGATCAGGAGGCTGTGGGTCACCCCTCTGTCATTACTGCCTGCTGCCTGACCCCATCCCCGCTGCCTGACCCCATCCCCGCTGCCTGCAGCATGCCTCCACCACCCTGCCTGCAGCATGGCTCCACCACCCCTGCCTGTACCACTGCCCCATCACTCCTGCCTGCAGCATTGCTCCATCACCCCTGCCTGCAGCATTGCTCAGTCACCCCTGCCTGTACCATTGCTCCATCACCCCTGCCTGTACCATTGCCCCATCACTCCTGCCTGCAGCATTGCTCAGTCACCCCTGCCTGTAGCATTGCTCAGTCACCCCTGCCTGTACCATTGCCCCATCACTCCTGCCTGCAGCATTGCTCAGTCACCCCTGCCTGTACCATTGCCCCATCACTCCTGCCTGCAGCATTGCTCCATCACCCCTGCCTGTACCATTGCTCCACCACCCCTGCCTGTACCATTGCCCCATCACTCCTGCCTGCAGCATGGCTCCATCACCCCTGCCTGTACCATTGCTCCACCACCCCTGCCTGTACCATTGCCCCATCACTCCTGCCTGCAGCATGGCTCCATCACCCCTGCCTGTACCATTGCTCCATCACCCCTGCCTGTACCATTGCCCCATCACTCCTGCCTGCAGCATTGCCCCATCACCCCTGCCTGCAGCATTGTTTCATATTCCCCTGCCTGCAGCACTGCTTCGTGTTCCCCTGCCTGCACTATTGCTCCATCATCACTGCCTGCAGCATCACTCCACTATCCTGCCTGCAGCATTGCTCCATTACCTCTGCCTGCACCATTGCTCCATGTTGCCCTGACTGCAGCGTAACTCCATCATCTTGCCTGTGCCATTGCTCCATCACCTCTGCCTGCCCCATTGCTCCATCACCTCTGCCTGCACCATTGCTGCATCACCTCTGCCTGCACCATTGCTCCATCACCTCTGCCTCCACCATTGCCCCATGTTCCCCTGCCTGCATCATCACCCCTGCACCCCTGGGACCCCCTGTCCTGTCGGGGTGCCCCGTCCCATCCTGCAGCCCCCCATGCCGTGGTGGACCCCATCCTGACCCAGATCTCTGACAGCACCATCTGCGGCCGCCCTCCTCCCTCCTCAGAATTATGACGCTGGGCTAATGCGGCAGGAGCAAGCTGTCACCTCGCCCTGCCCAGCCTCTGCCTGCAGCTTAGGTGCCTCCAGCCCCTGCAGCGCACCTTCACCCATGGGTGGCACAACCCTGCAGCGCTCGAGGGCTGTCAGCCCACCCATGGGTGATGCGGGGACCCAGGCGCCTGATGCCAGCGGATGGCAATACATGCTGAGTCGGCTAATTTGCCTGTCCCCTCCTTGCCGTCGGGTAAAAGCCAGCTCCGGAGCAGGGATTTGGGATGGGGATTAGCTGGGCCAACCATCTGCTGCCGGCCAATCATCAGCACACCCAGGAAAGCCAATAATTCCCAAAATGTGGTTTCCCACCCAATTTCTCCATTGGTTGCTGGCCCCAAGGTGGGCGCCTTGTCGAGTAGCACCCTGGAGCTGAGCACCCCATGAGCACCCAACCCAGGCTCCCAGGGGAGCTCCTCCCAGCCCATTTCTAGGGAGCACCCCAAGCAGGCCTGAGGCCACAGGCAAGGGGCTGCAGGCAGCGGGTGGGGGTGAAGGAGCAAACGTTAAAGCCCGCGGCGGGGCCGTGACTCGGCTCGGTGACAGACGCTGGGGCAGATGCCATGGGATTACCCAGCCTAAAACCTGGGGCTCTGCCCCCCCTCCCCCTGAGGCACAGAGCATTTAATTCCTAATTTACTAATTACCCAAAGATGCTGGTGATGGGCTTGAAACCTGTGGTCGGGAGCAGCCCCAGGGCTCCAGCCACCCTAATCCCGCCGGCTGTGGGGAGCTGGCAGATGAGCCCTGGGCAGGGGACAGCCTGGCTGGGGACATCGGGTGTCCCAGGGAAGCACCCTTGTCCAACAGTGACACAGGGTGGTGGGGAGCAGGAGAGGACATTAGGGACAAGATGGGGATGGTGGGGACCAGGAGCAGCTGATGGGACCAAGGACAGATGGTGGGCACCAAGGAGGGACAATAAGGATCAGAAAGGGATGGTGGGGACCAGGAGGACACAATGGGGACCAAGAGGAGATGATGGGAATCAGGAGGAGACACTGGAGTCCAAGGGGAGATGGTGACCAGGAGGTGATGATGGAGACCAGGAGGAACCAAGGGAGATACAGGAGACCAGGAGGGGTCAACAAGGATCAGGAGTGGGTGATGGGGATCAGGAGGAGGGGACGGGGACTGGGAGGGGATGATGAGGATCAGGAAGAGAATGGGAACCCGGATGTTTTCATGGTGACCAAGAGACAATGATGGGTGACGGAGAGCAGCAGGTGATGGCAGGGACCAGAATGGCATGATGGAGAGCAGAAGGTGATGGCAGAGACCAGGATGGATGATGGAGACCAATACAGGACAACAGGGACAGCATGGGGATGATGGGGACCAGGAGAGGACAATGGTGACACAGAGGGGCCAAGGGAACCTAGAGGAATCATGAGGAGATCATCGTGAGCTGCTAGTAAGGACCAGGAGGAGATGGTGGAGATCAGGAGGGACGATAAGGACCAGAAGGGGCTGGTGAGAACTGGAGGGTACATCAGGATGAGACAACAGAGACCAGGAGAGTATGGTGGGGATTGGAAGGGGATAAGAGCAAGCAGAAAACATGGAGGTCTGGAAGGGTTGAAGATGGACTGAAGGTGGCTGGGAAGGGTTAACGAGGCCTCCTGGCTCTGAGCTGTGCCCAAGCAGGCTCCGATTTCGGCTGTAATTAGCTCTTGTTTGTTGGATGATAAATGATGCTTTGGCGTTGCTGATGACAGAGGGTGACAGCTCCCACATCACCCGCTCCAAGCCCTGCCAAAGCCTCCACTGACCCCATGGCACCAGGATTAAAGTTTAATGTGACTCTGGAGCTGACCCAGGCATGCATCACCCTGGGGGCAGAGGCTGGGGATGGGCTGGTGGCCACCTTCAGGGCAAGAGGCTTTTTGGCACCAGGTGGTGTTTTAGCACCAGCCTGGTGGCCACTGGCTATCGGCATATTGGCCACGGGACCGTTTCATGGGTTACCGAGAAGTTTGTTGATGAAATGTCACCCCAGGCTGGGTTGGGCCCCTGAGGCTGGCCCTGCGGGATGGCTCCGTGCCACAGTGGGGCCGGTCGGTGTGGTCTGGGCACATTCCCGGGCATCGGTGTGTGCCAAGAGGCACCGCGGTGCTCCCTGGGGCCGGCTGAGAGCCTGCCCTGTGTCCACCTTTGGAGCAGCAGCTGCCTGGGGACCACGGTGGAGCAAGGGGACCTCAGAGGCACCCGAAGGTGAGGGAGCAGGGCATGGCATGAACGCCAGGGCTGGCATGGTGCCTGCTCGGGCTTCGGCAGGGAGACGTGGCACCACAGTTGTTTGGGGACACAGAGGTCCCCAAGGTGGGGCTGGGCACAGGCCCATGTCCCCAGCTTCTGCACGTCATGTTTTCTCCTTGCAGATGAACCTCCTTGCCCAGGTAAAGGGGGACCCAGTAGGAGAACACCTGCACCGAGGCAGTGCCAGCCCTCTACTGTGGCACCCAGCACCCAGAGACCCTGCAATGGGGGCATGACCAATGTTGAGTCTGGGGTTGCAAGGGACAGCAAATGGGTGCTGGGAGGCTGCTCTGGGCTGGGGCTGGGCGTTACCAGGGTGTGTGCCAGCAGGGATGGGTGCTAGAATTGGGGGTGCTAGAAGGGATGGGTGCAAGCAGGGATGGGTGCAAGCAGGGATGGGTGCAAGCAGGGATGGGTGCCAGCAGGGATGGGTCCCAGGCTTGCTCGGCCCCTCTCCCCACAGGTGAGCTCCCTGGTGCAGACCCTGCGAGCTCGGGATGTGCCGCTCCTCCAACCGCAGCGCTGGCTGGGCTCCTGGGTGCGACAGGCTTGGGGTGCTGGTGTGGGGACTGGGCAGGGGGTGGCATCGGTCTGGGCAGGGGCTGAGCCATGGCACTGGTGCACTGGGTCCCATCTCCCAGCACCACTGGGGCTGACATCACGTGTTTGTTCTT